TCTTGGCAAGGTTTTTCAGAAGTGGTTTGCCATTGATTGCCTCCTTCCTAGGGCTGAGAGAAAGTGACTGGCCCATGGTCATCCAGCTGGCTTTGTGCCTAGTCAGGACTAGAACTCATGGTCTCCCAATTTTTCTAGCCTGATGCCTTAACCACTATGCCAAACATGTCTTTTAAAGCAATATATAAGTCTTAATAGACATTATTTTGCAAAAATGTATTGCTGTCAAATAATGGCACCTTTGTCATAGCTTCTCATTTTTTATAACTGACTGTACTCTTGATATTTGCTTGCAGTATTTGATTTTTTTTTAACTTCTTTGGGGTGTCTATTTTTATAATAGTTCCCTTTAGACTATAGATTTGTATGGCTTTTGTAATGTTAAATGCATTTAACATTTCTTATAGAGGAATATATTTTTAACACTTTAATCCAATTGCATTTTTCTGCTGGTACCTGCTGATAAAATGAAAATACACTATACAATATCTTTCTGCTTAGTTTACAGATATGTATTTTTCCCTGAAACAGGAGCAACCTAATTGGTATTTGTTAGTTTTATGTTTAAGAATGCAGTACTCCTTGGTTTGAGATTGTAAATATTTGCTATCAAATAACAGTGACCAAACATCTGGTAAAGACTCAATACTTGCATTCTGCTCCATATCGTATTCATTATCACCTCTGAACTGCAGTTGATTTGTATTTCTGTAAAAGCCAATGAAATGTCCAATTCTATCATATGAATACTTGTTGAATACTATGTCTTGTTTAATCAGATTGGTAAGATTTAGAGGTAACACTGTCCTTGGTTGCATCTTTAAGCACTTAAATAAGCCAGTTTTCATTTGACTATGCTAAGTTTACCAAGAATCCAAATTTAAAATAGGTAGGGGTGGACATACTGCCACTATAACGCAGAATTGAAAATATAGGTCAACATACATAACACATTCTTCAGTACTGTGCAAAAGTTTTAGGCAGGTATGAAAAAATGCTGTAAGAATGCTTTCAAAAATATATATTGTAATTGTTTATGTTGATCAATTTACAAAATGCAAAGTGAGCAAACAGAAGAAAAATCTAAATCAAATCAATATTTGGTGTGACTACCCTTTGCCGAAAAAATGCTGTAAGAATGCTTTCAAAAATATATATTGTAATTGTTTATGTTGATCAATTTACAAAATGCAAAGTGAGCAAACAGAAGAAAAATCTAAATCAAATCAATATTTGGTGTGACTACCCTTTGCCTTCAAACTAACACCAATTCTTACACTTGCAGTGTTTGTACACTTGCACAAAGTCAGGGATTTTGTAGGATTAGAGTCAGGTGTATGATTTAACCAATTATACCAAGCAGGTGCTAATGATCAATTTCATATGTAGGCTGAAACACAGTCATTAACTGAAACAGAAGCAGCTGTGTAGGAGGCTTAAAACTGGGCGAGGAACATCCAAACTGCTACTAAGGTGGGGTTGTGGAAGACAGTTTCATGTCACAGGTCATACACCATGGCAAG